CTTGGCCAGAAGATGGAACAAGACATATATGATAATGATATAATGTTTCCTTACGCCTTCAGGTTGCTTAGCACATTCAGTACACTAGTTATACAGCACAAGCATTGTCTGCATTTATTTAGCATGACATTATTATTCATTAGTGTTTATATGCTGTGAAAAGATATAAATGTATGCTCTTGCAGACTATATTGTATATGTAAAGTTTTTATTCACTGCCAGATAATGAGTATTAGTTAAGGTTTTTTTCTACTTGTCCTGGAAACGATAACTTCGCTGCCACAGTTCAGTAATGATGTATAGGCACCCAAGGTCACAAATTGGTTTGTGTGATAAATGTTTCTATCTTGTGCATAATTGCTTCTACCGAATGATGTAGTATATCCATTAGTCCTGTATGTCTTTTTACATGGCACTTAAACTAAGCATTCAAAGCATGTGTTGTTTTGGTGGGTAGAGGGATATGGGGAGGAAAATATATTGATTGCTGCTGATCATTATTATTAATAGTGGATGCCTGTTTGAGTGTCCAATTTAAATAAATGTGGGTGACACATCCCTAAACAACCCTGATTATTCTATTATCGGCAGTGCAAGGCAGACAAAATATAGAATTTTACGCACTTTTACATTCATGGCAACGGGAAAGAAGATACAAAATGTGCCATGAAATTATAATAAACTAGGGTTACAATTGACCATTCACTGGGAATTAACCATATCTAATTTTACAGAATGCAAAGAAGCCTCTGCTATACCATCACAGAGGCCAGGGTAGTGCTACTGGAAAAATATTTCAAACTATTGACAATGTGTCTGCATGCATATATTCAGATGGACTGGCTAGCAGATAAGAGGTAGGGAGTAATTTCTGTTAGCATGTTCAAAACATTGCCAACAATGTCAACAGTATATATTGAAACTTAATAACTTTAAATGGAACTCAAGAAAAACAACTTCCTAAATTTTTGAAATAAATATATGTTTACTGTTTTACCTATCTGGATTTTTAATTTTGTTTATCTGCTCTTGTGGTGTCCACAGTTCTGCTAAGTAGAAAGCTCACTCTGCCACTTTCTGGTTTATAACTGTTTAATAGGTCAGCTTACTGTGGATTGGAGAGAGGTGATGTGCTGATTCACTGTCCAGTAAGGTGACTTGGGAAACTGAATTGTTAACTAGGAAGATGAGCTGCTGATTAAGCATCTGCGTGTGTCACTTGTTTGACTGAGCCTGTGGAAAAGATGTTACAATCAAGGCCGGATTTCTCTCTTTAGTCCATCTTCTCTGCCAACCTTGTCATTCCAGACACCTTCAGTGTGAGTCATTTACCGCTTTCACTGCCTATCCCTTTCTGTCCTGGACTGGTGCCCTATGATTGCTGCCCTGTGACACTTGCCATTGACTGCTGCCCTTTGCTGTGCCCTAGGATTGCTGCCCTGTGATTTCTGCTCTGTGATTTCTGCCTGTCCCATAATGTCCTGGATTGCTTCCCTGTGACCCATGACCTTGCTACCTTAATTTGCTATACCCTTGATTGTTGCCCTGTAAACTGCTGCTCTGTAACTGCTACCCCGTAATTTGTGCCCTACAATTGCCACCTGGCCTTTGCTTGCTCTGGATTTCTTCCTTGGATTTCTTCCTGTGATTGCTGACCTGAGATATCTGCCAGTCCCTTGCTGTCCTGGATTGCTGCCCTGTGATCTGTGACCTAGTTACCTGTCTTTTGCTGTGCCCTGGATAACTGCCCAGTGATTTCTGCCCTGAGATAGGAAGGCCCGAAGCAGAAAAAAATGAAAATAAGCGGAGGGCATACATAACTAGGTGTATAGGGGATACAAGATACAAAAGGGTTAACGAGGGTTCGGTCTTTGGACAAGGTCACTTACCTGATTGGGCAGGTCAAAAGGTTAGGTGGAGCTTGAACGGTGGTCTGAGTAGGAGTGTCCTCTCTTCAGCAGTTGGAGATTGTCTGATGAGTAGTGAACTTCCCACCCGCCCATCCCTTTTTTTTTTTGCTAGGCTCTGTGTATTTATGCGGTTGGGGTCTTTGGAGGCCATCAAATAATAGGTTTGGTGGTTACTGTTTGGGGACCTGTCGTGGTATGGGTCCTCTATTCATGGTGTGTAAGCTGGTGAACACTAATTAGATATTTGGAGTGTATGCGGTCAGTGGGTGGTTGTCCCCGGGACGGTGTGTTGCGACTGAGGGCCTAACATGTTTTAGTACTGCCGCAAAGAACGGATCAAGAAAAGGTGTGGCCTTCAAAGACCTGCAACTTTGTTTAGGTAATTCTGACTGATGTTGAAATTGTTTATATAGTTATGTTTTATATCAAATTATTTTATAAAAGGCTGCTAAGTCCATTTAATGCCATTTTGGAGTGTGGTCTGTTTATTCCTTACAGGGACGGGTGGTGGGTGGTCTTAGTGGCTCGTATTAGAGGAAAGATTGGGGACATCTATGCTACCTTAGTCATGCTACCTGTCCCTTGCTGTCCTGGATTATTGTCTTACGACCCTGTAATTAATCATTGTAACTTTAATAGATACAGTGGCTGCATTTGAATGGGACACCTGGGAATCCTGTCACAGGAATCCATGGGTTATTGCCACAGGAAACCCAGAATTCCCAGTGTAAATGGGGCCTAAGAGTGTTGATCTCTTATGTTCACCGTCTTAAGTGTACTGTTGCTATATTTATGAGGAAGAGAAAATAAACTTTTTAGGGAAATTTTAATAAAATGATGCTTGACTATCAATGGATGTTCATTTTTACTAATAATAAATGTGAACTCTAGGAAACGGCTAAAAACACAGATAAAATACATATATGTGAGTTGTCTTAGCTGCCAAAGTATGAGTATTTTTTATCTATCCTGTCCTAAGAATTTACAGTTCATAACTCAACCACACAGCACAGCCAGCCCAGTGATTTTTTGTTGTTGCTGCAGTTAAATGCATCTAGGTCACTTTCACAACTCCCACCTGTGGATGGACAGTGAAAAAGAAGCAGTGATCTCCCAGGTGGCAGCAGATGCGTATGCAGCAGACCCTGGTTGACCTCAATACTGCCCCTCCCTCTACCAATCTGAGTGTTGATGTACAGGGTATTACAGTGAGCTAAAATAGAGTTAAATGCCAGTTTTAGAACAATTTTCAGTTAAAATGTAAAAACTCTTTTAACAAATACATAGCTACATTATCTGTTTTTTTTAAATCTGCTCAGAGTTTAGCTTTTCTTAACAATATAGATTATGCAGCAGTTAAAGTTGTTGTGTGGCTTTGTGGTGTATGGCTTAATGTAGTATTATAAATGTATGTACTGTACATCAACAGGCAGATTTATAAGTGCGTCTCTGAGAAAACTGTTCTCACAGAGTTAAGCTACTCCTCTGTTTTGTTCTGGCATCGTCTCTTGGTTGCAAAGCTGTTGAATGCTGACTGCAGAGGAAGGGAGCATGAGCTAAGTTCTCCACACAACAATATAATTGAAGCTTTGTCGTAAAGGCATCTGCCTACAGAATTCAACAAAGGAAAAGGAACTGGCTCCATCTGACAGATTGAAATAATGTGTGACTGGGTAAGACAGGGTCAGCTATTTCGAACTTTGTGAGTCATATTTGGTCTGTTTTCCAGTTAATTTTGTTTGCAGAATTTGGCTTAGTTAGACCTGCTTACCTTCCAAGACATCATTGTTCTGATCACCATTTGTTGGAAAGCTATGTGAGCAAGTCATTCATTCACATGTGTGCAGTCATTCATTGCAAAAGATCATGAAAATGAACAGTATATTGATTACATATTATATTCTCTATAATCCAAAAATGATCAATAAATTTGTGAAGTATTTTGTTAAATGTTGTGAACCTGTTTGGGAAATGAACCTTAGAGAGAGCTGGCAAAAGGACTTACCTGACATTCACGTTGGAGACTTGGTGTGTGGTTTGACAAACAAAAAGATGACCAGATAAACATCAGTGCTCACATTTTACTGCTAGGCAGAAATATAACAAGAAATCCTCAGTTTTCTGCCCATTGTATAACATTTCCCAAGGTAGGCAGATTGGTGTCAATTGCATATTCACTTGTGTATGCAGCAAATCCTAACTGGTCCCAATACTGCCCTTCCATCTCCAATTTTGGTTAAAGATATGGATTTTGCTTCACTTTGGGAAGATTACCAATCATGTCCTGTTATTTTTCTGGGACAGCAAGTGCACAAAAATATCCATAATGGGGACCCAGCCAGCAATTTGAAACTGACAGAGCTTTTCCCCATCCTATCCTAAGTAAAAACATTCCGGCCATGGCAGTTGTATGTGGTTGGCGGATAGACAATTTCGATCCTTTCGCTCCTCATTTCCCCAACCTGATGTTTTGGAAGCGAAGCCGCCGGCTTTTGACTCCCTTCTCCTGCGGTCATCTCCCCCTTCCCATACCATCTCATTACTTTATTTTCTTCTCTCCTCTTCCCACTCTCCTGACCTACCAGGATACGCTTCGGGCTGGACACGGGAACTGGGCATCCCCATTAGTACTGAAAAATGGGAGAAATTTTTTGTTCTCTCTCATGCTCTCTCTATCGCCAGTAAGGCCCACAAGATCTGAAAATCCCGACCAGATTGTACAGATGACCCTTGGTACTCCATCATTTCTTTCCACAGGTTCCAGACTCTTATTGGCGTTGTCAGACCTCCCCGGGCACTTTCTTACGGCTGTGAGGTTGGTCATTCCTCTTCACTGGCATTCGCCTGTTATTCCTACCCTGGCGCTATGGACTGTGGAAATGGACTGTATTGCGGACCTGAAACGATTGATGGCTGATGAACATGATACCGGAGACAAATACATTGTCACTTTTTCCGTGTGGCTTGATTTCCAGGCCTCAGATACGTTCTCAAATGTGATGATCTCTTAGGTTCTCTGGGCTTCTTCCAGATGTCTGTGGCATTTTGGTAGGGGGTGGGGGACTGGAATTCTTTGTCTCTAGCTTCTAGGGTCTTTTCCTGAGTTGACCTTTTCCTGTACTCTCTTCTTTCCTCTTCTTGGTCCTACTATGTTCTTCTGCTCTTCTTCCTTCCTCCCTCCCTCCCTCTTTGTTCTACATATATCCCTTCCCTGTTTTTCTCCTGGTTTATCCACTTCTTTTCTGGTCTTTTTGTCTTTTTCTTCCATTTTCTGCTCTTTTTGTTTCCTGTTTCCTATTCTTGTTTTAACTATCTTGTCTTTTCTACGAGTTTTTCTACATACTGTAGTCATTCATTTGGGCTTGCTTGCCCCGGATTGGGTAATGTCCCTTTTGTACGCTGTCTTCTAGGAAGCAGGATTTCCAAAGCACTTAGGGGGTCATTGCCCTTAAATTATACACAAAAAGAGTCAGCATTAGGCTGTATTAGTGCTACTTGCCTTGGTAGTCTGCTGCTACGAGTTGAGTTACATGGCTTGTACTTTCTGTGCATTTCAACTGCTGTTGTACATTGGCTTTATTCGTTGTATGTTATACTTCTACTTGTCTGTTTTTTATGAGTACTTTAATAAAAACTTGTTGAACTAAAACAATCTGGCCAGACTTCTACTAGATACATGTTACGCTGTTGTAATTCCTACTTGTTTTGTGCAACACTGAGATGAATGGTTTTTTTTTTAATCGCAGTATGCATTTAATTGCAATAGGAATTGGTGATCATTTTCTCTTGCTAACTTTATTAATGCTTAGTGATATATAGAAGGACACATGCATTGCTTAATGAGTTACCTGGATGTACATTAACCTAGCATTTATGGCAGGAAAGTTATTCCTCTATCAAGATACAGGCTTTAATCTTGCACTGGAACTACATTACCATATATATTAGCTATATAAAGCTGACTAAATCTTGGGTTTTTAAAGATTTATCAGATTCAAATGCTCATAGAACAAATAGAAGAAACAAGATCATAGAGGTAAAACAAAGAGTTCTCTCCTGGCTGAAAGTATCATGATGAAAGCAATGTGCACAGTAGTTTGATCAGGAAGCTCATGACAATTTTTTTAAGTAACATGCTACTATAGTCTTTAATATATTTTGTATGTGTATGTCTTTTTCTAAAAAAGGAACATCTTTTTCTTAAATCAAATAAACTGAATGTCCTGTAGAGCCAGATGCCATAGGAATTATTGGCTCCATATTCCTTTAAACTTCTTCTTTTCTTATATAGCATATTGTTTTGTTATGTGAATCTTGCATCAAGCAAAGTAGCAGACCTTGAAAAATAGGCCTTAAAGAATTAATGATACATTTGCAAAATCATGAAAGGAGCTTTAGCTTTACTAAACTCTAAGAAGAGTAAAAACTGCAGTGTGCATATTATAGATACAGAAAGAATAATACTCTACGTAATGGTATTCTTGAGTTGGGAAACAGATTGAAGTATAACAAAAATATAATACTAAGGTATAAAAAAAGTATAATACAAAAATACAAGACTGATTGGTTTCTCATCACTCTGTTTATATTTGTATATGGCTATATGTACTTGGGATTTGGGAACCATACCCCTGGAATATTAAAATAGCTTTATTGTAACTCCATGAGGACAAAGATGTGTGATGTGCAGACCTTAGCTCATGAACTTTCAAAGAGATGTTAAGGGCTGTGTAACGTCTTCATGCAGCTAAGGCATTATCCATTCTGATTGATTGGGTGCTGTTCTCATAGAGTCCTATACAGTACGTTCTGTCTTCACCAGACCTTCCCTACTAACCAGGCCTTCTCAGAGTTGCCAGTTAATAAACGGTCTGCCTCTATCTGGATCTTGCATATCACTCTGCACAAGTTAAAGAAGAACTGAACTGTGAATGCTGTGACCAAAAAGGCAAGCAGAGGGCAGTAGACCAGTCACCAGTAATGTCTGTGATCTCCCTGCAGCTAATAGTTACCTATCACTAACTTACAATGCCTTGTTCTGCATGGCATCTCTGTGTAGAAGCAAGCCTTTGCTTTCTCGTGTCAGAACAGCATGCCTGATTACTGATGTCTGAAGCCTGGTGGGGGGATATTCTTTAACCAGGAGAAGAGGAGGAAACACATATTCACACCATAAATAAAGCAGAAACAGATAGATCCTTGCACTGCAGGTCCTCAGGTACAGCTTCCTCTCCAGCAAGCAGCATCTAGTGACATCACCAAATCTTACGCCATATCTTGTGGGACTAGCAGTCAGATACAGTATCTTAGGTCTCACACTTCAGATATACAGCTATGAGGCTCTGGACACAGACGTCTCTAGGCGCAGGCAATACATTGATATTTTTAGGATGAATTTGAGACAAAAGGTACAATTTTCAGGGTACTGTTCCTGCATACTTAACTATGTTTCCTATAAGATAGCAAATCTTCACTTTTGAGTTTAGGTCCACTTTAATAAAACAGGGTCTTTCACAGGGGTGCACAATTGTATTTTTAGAAGAACCTTCTAAAACGTTTCTCCATGAGTAGCCTTTATAGAGAACACCCAGAATTACATTTATCTAAACGGAAGGTACTGTATGAGGAGAACAATGGAAAACAATCAGCTTTCCAAAGTGAACTGATGTTTTATTTTTCTATAACCAAGGGATATGATTAAATATGCTCTGTGAAATAATTATTTGACTGGGAAGGAGGCAGGGATAAATAAATCTAAAGACACAAAAGACCTATATTTGTCTTTGACAAACATCTTATATGCTTGTTGGGCTCAGGTATTGTTATCCTTAAATTAGGCCCACAAACGACTTGGAAATAATATTGAAAAGGTATAGATATACAAGTATATATAAGAATATAAGAACTCCATGATTTTTTTTTTATTAACCCTGGCAGTGGGGCTACTCATATATTCTCTAGATAAGTTTTACTTTTGTAAAATATTAAATTATGTTCCAATAGAGGATATAATTTCTAAAAGAGCAAAAACGTTTCTACTTAAGAGATTTACATTTCATGAAGATCAAGAAGTCCTAAAGACAATACAAGAAAAATATGTTGTTTACACATAAAAATATATAAATAACACATAAAAAATTATCTTGAAGAATGCAAATTCTAATTGGAAACAGGAGCAAAATATTGTGCATAAATACACCTCTATCCCTCACCAGCAAATCCCATGGCTTTCATTATCTGCTTCCCAACAGTGTTTGAGCTAGAGCACTATTGTAGGTCTGCTTGTGATATCAGCTGTGGAGATGGGAATCTTGTGACAGGTTATCGGAGCTTTTTTCTAGAATAATGTAACTGACTGGGCTGGTTCTGCATCAATTAAGCTGTTTTTAATGAGCTGTATTGTACCTTAAAATGCTAGTATTCTATAGCATCAACAAACCAAACCTTTTTATTTAGAATTAGAAATGTCCTGCACCAGGACAGCAAATGAGGGAAGCAAAATGTGGATGCGTCCTGTCAACATATGTGGAACATATAGTTTTGTTTTTTTTGTGTGCATATATTTTGAGTTTATGAGCACATACTGTATATTGAGTTATTATTTTGTGACCTTGCATTTTCACATGATCTTATGTCAGGAATTTATTAATACAGATTTTTACTTTAAGGTAGGTTTCCAACAATGCAAGTTTAGTAAAACACCAAGGGCCCTATTTAAATATTTCTAAAAGTTTGTTCTGTGTGAATAGACACAAAAACAAATGTTCTTGGATATTTTCTTATAAGTATAGAAAATTATTTAGGGAACAAGTATTTAGTTCCTATGCCCCTCAGCTTTACATTCGACCTGAAAAGAAAATATATCTAAGATCATTGCTGTTTGTGTCTATTCGCACAGGACAAACTCAGAAAGAGTCGTAAGGCGAATGGCTCTACAAACTGGTTATAAATAGACCCCTTACTGTTTATAATATGTGATTTTATTGTTATTGGCAATGGGGCTACGTAATGTAACATATTTACTCACACTTGAAATATATTTTTATTCATTTTTAATTTTAGCGTTAAAATAATCTGAATTTTTAATCTGCTCAAAACTGCTTCCATCTGAAAGTCTAGTAGGTATTAGGTGTCTTTATTTGCAAGCATTAATATCTCTTAGTTTACTTACTATAACATTGCTGGCCAGTAGATAGAATATAATGGATATTGTTAGTGCAATTTGGTGGGTTAAAACAAGTTTGACTTTAGGCCATCTTTAATGTTGGGAGTGTATAAAATGTCATACATAAAATTGTGAGACTGCATGATTTCTTTTCAACTTTAGGGAAATCAAAGTTGGTTTAATAAGAAAAAAGTATCCTGCGAGTGTTCCAAACCCCAGCTGCTTTCTATCACACCCTGTCACTCTTATTAAGCATTTGACATGCCAAAAAGAAATGGCTCTGAAACATACAGGCGAATGCATTTAATCCTTGTCTTGCAATTGTGTGTGGGATTGGGTATTGAGAAGCAGCAAGGCAAATAATGAAGGCATATGTTTACCTATAATTCTTTTTACCTTGGGAGAAGGATTAAATAGGAACCGTTTGGCTGTTGTCAAATTCTTAACAGTTGCTTTCAAGCATGAAACAGTCCTTCGGGCTCTCCAAGGATTTATTCAGCAGCAAGAATAGGGAGGTCTTTAGTGCTAATGGCGTGGAGATGTCAGGCGTAAGCAATGGGGTGCTTTGCAGTCTCTTTAGTCATTTAAGAAGATAGAACATCAAGTAGTTGAAACGTATTGGACTTCACTGGTGTTTTGGGAGTGGTGCAAACACTGGTGAATTAATAATTCAGGGATGTTAGGATGTCTTGATGCTAAAGTGTGGAAGTAATCTGAAAGCATGATTCACAGAAGGCTTAATACCAAGAGAATTTTTATTTTGGTTTAAAAATCAATCTGTCCTCAAGGGAACATTTACTAATGTAGAAAGAAAATACATGATGATCCTGCCTTGCAAGAGCAACTTGCATAATGATTGCCACAGCTCCAGTACATTATTAGCTGTTTAGTGGTAAATCAGAACTTTGATTTACGTCCTTGCACATGAGGACCTT